AAACCGCATTCTCTAAACAGCTAGATCTGATCAGCTAGATCTAAACAGCTAGATCTGATCAGCTAGATCTAAACAGCTAGATATAAATAGCTAGATCTAATCACTCTGTAGTGAGTGATACGTCAGCATAAGCAGCCAGAAATCTTTGAAATAATTATACATGCACATAATAGGGACATTGAATGTCCAGTCATAGTCGGACACGTTATTAATGTAGAGAAAAAATGAAAATGTATTAATTTTGGCGTGTACAGTAAGTACAGTACTGATAATTACAACGGTTATCTTGGCAGACTTGTCCTTAATCTGTTATCTGTTAAGCTGCATTTTACCTTCCACCGTAAATAAAATATATTATTCTATCTTTGGTTAGTCATACTGTAACAATGCAAACCACAGAAGAATTAAAACATTAATAGACACTATGAACGTAAATTACAAATTTATATTAAACGAGCTTTTCTGTGTCGAGCAATTTAATAATAAATGATTATTTTTCGATCACTGCCTCGTTAAGCCCAACTTGCGGGGGGGGGGGGGGAGAGGGGTGTAATTCACAATGCACTTAGGTCTATACTTACGATATATAAACCTTAACCATGGTCATGGTTGCTAAGTTAGTATTTGCTTAACAATTTACGATTTCCGAAGCGCTAGGAGAACCTACGCCCTCTATGAAACGTAACTATTAGTATTAACGAGCTCGTGAAGCTTCAGAACTCGTTAATGTTTAGTAAATACTGGCCACTTAGCCAAGATTGGGATAAGAGGTACTGATATCGTAAATGGAGGTGCAAGTGTTCAGAGCATCGTGATCCCTCGAGGTGTAGCTCTATTCGCTTGTTCTTATGACTCGTCCCCCATCCCGTGTTCTACTCATCCCCAGACATCAAAAGGAGCACCACAGAGCTCTTTGTAAATCTTGTGTAAACTGAAGTCGTCGATTGGAGAATTTAATTAAAACTTTTCCTTCAACGGGCCCGTGAGGCAAGATTGCACCGAGCTGAGAAAGTTGGGATAGATGAACTCTCGCCCCTCTCGCTCTAATGAAAACTATATGAGGTGTATAATAGTGTTAATGAAACAGGCTCGCCAAAGCCACGCAGAAATGCATGCAAAAATAAGCATAAATAAAGACAATTTGTTCAGACCATGATGACCTGGTCATGATGACCTGGTCATGATGACCTGGTCATGATGACCAGGCATGTCACCCTGAGGGGCCCCGACGGCCATATGGGTCACATTTATGTTGTCATGAGGACCACACACCACAGCTAGATGAAGGCATTTAGTAAAAATTATTGGAGAATATTTGTATTACTTCAATATAGAAAGATACGATGTGCATTTAAATGGTTTAGTGGCTAGGAACATTCATGAAGCAAAGTAATGAAGTAGTTTCACAGAGGAAAAAAATAAACGGCAACATAGACTTCTATGCAACAGAAACAAATACATTTTTACCAAAATTACAACAGTTAAAAATTAACATTTATTTACGACTATTCAATCATTTTTTTTAGCCATTTTAAAGAAGTGGAATCTGAAAGATAAAAATAAAATTAAAAATAAAATCAGCGGTTAAAAAACTGAAACGAAAATTCGGCGAACTTACTAGTTAACGTCATGTATATTTTTAGAAGTCATAACTCGCTTGCCTCACAGCTGCATTTGTGTTCCTGTTGTGCTTTTGAAATCTATTACAAAATTAAATTATAAAAACTTCTATTTTGGGCGTTAATAGACAGTACAGTATCTTTATGCGTTACAGTATCCTGTGTGCGGCCCGCAGGTGTGTGCGGCCCGCAGGTGTGTGCGGCCCGCAGGTGTGTGCGGCCCGCAGGTGTGTGCTTGCCAATGGCCGCATGTTTAACATGCCTGAGTATATGTACAATACATCTCAATGAATTTTTTAAGTTCCATGGCCGAAATTCATCAACTATTTACGAAGTCACTTACGAACACTGTACATCTTTCCCTAATTATGTTGACTTTGTTCATATTTATTAAAAGTTTTTCGAGGCAGAATCTTTACAATCAAAGTTATTGTTGATAGAGAGAACCTCCTGGTGCTTTTGAACACATAAACTGTTAATAAATCTTAACAAAACCACTATGATTGAGGAAAGATGTACATGTTTCGTAAGTGGCTGGGTCTTAAATGGCAGGGTCAAGTAGCTCGATAAATCCAGGCGCAGCATTTCAACTTTGTCTCAAGATCCTGAACCGATTTAAATGAGTTTCTCAGAGAAATTTCCATGTGTGGAATTGCACAATTATCACCATAATGTAGGATGACTTTACCATTACTTCACTCTCTTTTATTACCTTATATGTATGTTAAGTAAGTAGTACGAGGCACGTTATATTGATTCATTATCTCCATCACCTCACTCAAAACATTATAGCTATATTTATAGTGACCGATAACTCTAATCAATATTTTTTTCAAAAAATCTCTATTTCAAAGATGAGAAGAACTGTTCATCATGCATTATGATGAATTCAATTGTCATAAGTAAAATACCTGATTGGCAATTCTTTGACGCGTAAAGCTGGTAACCAAATGTTGCTCGACTCAACAAGTGGTGGATGGTGAGCGTGCTACAGCGGCGTCTTTTTCCTATTGGGGAGTATTGTACATGCTGCTATGGCGGTATGTTCTCTCTCAGGATGAGTGGCGTTGTCCAATAAACTCGCCCCTCCGGTCTAAATTTAAATTTAAAACCAGGCGCCCAGTGATATCACGAGTGGCCTTCTCTCATGCCATGGTAGGAATCTCTCGCACACTATCAGACACTCGTGTACCTGCCCTGCAGACCACACACACGAGCGACAACCTTCAAGGTGCCACAGAGCTGCCACTGATGTTGGTCTTCGTTTATACAGCTTAAAAGCTGCTTCCTGTTGCCGTAAGTTTCCTTCATAAGGGTGTTATAAATCAGTGGAATTGATGGCAACTCACTCCAGTTACGCAGGAAAACAGCTTTAAGACTTCTAGCTGAAAGCAAGATCTAATCAACATTCTTTTTAACATTTCCGTTCTCAATCGCTAGTGACCTCATTTGCTTCAACAGCATTTAGGCTGTTTATCAGTGTAATTTTTATTATCGTCCAGTTTAATTTTATAGGGCATTACCCTGCTTTTTTAATATATTAAATACGAAATAGGTTACCTTACCTTGAGGTTACCTTGAGGTGCTTCCGGGGCTTAGTGTTCCCGCGGCCCGGTCGTCGACCAGGCCTCCTGGTTGCTGGACTGATCAACCAGGCTGTTAGACGCGGCTGCTCGCAGCCTGACGTATGAGTCACAGCCTGGTTGATAAGGTATCCAGATAAATTAAAAATCCAGGTTTGATAAATTATTAAAAAACAAAACAAAAAAAAGGAGTTTAAAATAAATTAAAAACTTTGGCAGATGAAAAGATCCAGAACACATGAGGCGTAAATGGGTCAGACGCATAGTGCGGTGATGGTAACATGGTATGGTATGGTGAAGTGATGGGAAGGGGAACTGGAAGGTGAAGTAATGGGTGGGATAACAGTATTTTATGATGATGGGCAGGATAGCTGCATGGTGTAGTGATAAAAAGGATAAATTGGTGGTGGTTAAGGGTAGGATAACAAGAATATGTGGTGACTGCAGGATACCAGTGTGATGGGATTATGGATAGGATAACTGTAGGTTGTGTGGATGGGTAGAGTAACAGTATGATGTAGAGAATGGCTGAGTAACTCTTAGTAGCGATGATGGGTATGGTGTGGTGATGTGTGGTGTGTGGTGATTAAGCAGGATATAAGCATGGTAGTATAATGTGCAGGCTAATGCCCTTTGTTCGCGCCCCTAGCAGCAGGAGCAGGAGGGAGGGAGGATGGAGAAGAGACATGAAAAGTTGAATATGAGGATGGGGTGATGGGAGGGTAAGGTGGGTGATGGGAAAGTAAGGGGTGAAGGTAGGAGAGTGAATAATGGTATCGGAGAGGGCAGCTAAGGTCAGAGGGTTAAGGTGGATAAATAGAAGGTGAGATGCGAGAAAGGTCAGGAGAAAAGGAGGCGGAACAGAGGAGGAAGGAGGAGAGGGGGTCGTGGAGAGTAAGACAGATTATAGGAGAGAAAGACGGGGAATGGTAATAATCAGAGAGGTGGAGAAGGTGTGGAGACGAACGAAGGTGAAGAGATGGCACAGAAAGGGATAATAGCCAACAGAATTAAAAATGGGCGAGAGATATATCAATATAAGAGAATGATAATTGGAAAAAAAATGGTTAACATAAATTAAACCCGGATATTTTAACTTAAACTTGTCGGAGATGAGTCACAATAACGTGGCTGAAGAATGTTGACGAATCCACACACTTTAGAAAATGAAGGGACGACGACGTTTCGGTCCGTCCTGGACAATTCTCAAGTCGACCATTCACAATCGACTTGAGAATGGTTCAGGGCGGACCGAAACGTCTTCGTCCCTTCATTTTCTAGTGTGTGGATTAGTCAACTTAAGCTTGTCGTGTGGTGACACCGTCCATGGATACCTAGATAACGAGGAGCAGAGAACCAGTCACTATAACGTGACTGACAAGAAATATCCCATCCCACGCTGGAGGACAAAAAAGGAACGCCAAGACTTTTCGGACCATCCAGAACCCTTATTGCTTCGAGGATCAATAAATATCTCATCAAAGAGAACGCTTGACGGCGTCTTCAGTGTCTCTCAGCTGCTAACATGTTTCCCGTCTCCTGATCTGTCCACGATTGCCTTTGGTTGTCAGTCTTTCAAGTCCATCTATTTGGACAGAAATTGTGTAGCGACCGTCTCGGTTCTTGCAGGGTCGGAGTTCGATCCCTGATAGTCCAATTAAGTTGTTGGGCCATCATTGATTAATCTCTTTCTCATGTAACAGCTTCTTGTCCTCATATACCTTCCAAATGTTGTATAGCCATACTGGCAAAGTGTTTTATCTTGATAATTACCTTACCATAATATCGATTGTACCAGTTGAAGCAGCCGCCACTGTACCAGTTGAAGCAGCCGCCACTGTACCAGTTGAAGCAGCCGCCACTGTACCAGTTGAAGCAGCCGCCACTGTACCAGTTGAAGCAGCCGCCACTGTACCTGTTGAAGCAGCCGCCACTGTACCAGTTGAAGCAGCCGCCACTGTACCTGTTGAAGCAGCCGCCACTGTACCAGTTGAAGCAGCCGCCACTGTACCTGTTGAAGCAGCCGCCACTGTACCAGTTGAAGCAGCCGCCACTGTACCAGTTGAAGCAGCGCCATTGAAGGTGATCATTTCTAAAACTCATGTCACTGTCCTTCTAGGACTACGTGTTCAGATATTAATGTTAATTGTCTCTCTGATAAATGTTGAGATATGCTAACGAAAGCTTTGCATAAGCATTTATGCAATGTGCAATGTGCAACATAACCGTCGATGCCCGTGGTATCGACGATTATAGTGTGATAAAAATGTCGGCACTGAAGTGTGTTCTCTCCTAATTAACACCCAATCTCCCTCCAATCAATAAATCACTAAACAAGAAAATCGTGTAATTATCGGTCACGGATGTTGTGTAATAACTGATGTGTATTTAATACTGCGGTTGATGTTGGTCGGAATAATTCCATTATTTACACATTCAGCTCTGGGGTCGTAGTCCTATTGGCCCGGGTTTGATTCCCGGTCGAGGCAGTAACAAATGGGCTGAGTTTCTTTCACTTGATTCACCTGTTCACCTAATTGTTCACCAATGCTATGGGCTGCATCCTGGGAAGGTGAGTATATGAGTACGTGTGTTAGAAATATATGTAATAGAAATAACTGAGGGGAAAAATATATCGATTAGAGAGGCCGGGTCCAAGAGCTAATAACTCGATTCTGCAGGGACAAATAGTAGATAGAAATAATACACACACAAACACACACACACACACACACACACACACACACACACACACACACACACACACACACACACACACACACACACACACAATCCTGAAATTAAGGATAGGGGCAGAAGGATTCACTACAAACGGCAAGGAAGTGTGTGAGGAACTGAATAAGAAATTCCAAGAGGTCTTCACCTTAGAGCAAGGAGAAATCCCAGAGATAAGAGAGGGAATAGCTAACCAGGAACCACTGGAAGAGTTTGAGATTACCAGCGGGGAAGTAAGGAAGTGTTTACTAGAGTTGGATGTGACAAAGGCTATAGGCCCAGATGGAATCTCCCCTTGGATACTAAAGGAAGGAGCAGAAGAACTGTGCCTTCCACTCTCCATAGTGTATAACAAATCACTGGCAACAGGGGAACTGCCAGAAATTTGGAAAGCAGCTAACGTAGTCCCGATATACAAGAAAGGGGATAGACAGAAGGCACTGAATTACAGGCCAGTGTCCCGAACTTGCATACCATGCAAGATGATGGAGAAGATTGTGCGAAGAAAGCTAGTGGAGCACCTGGAGCGAAAGAACTTTGTAACACAGCATCAACATGGATTCAGGGATGGCAGGTCCTGCCTCACAGGGTTACTTGAATTCTACGACCAGGCAACAAAAATAAGGCAAGAAAGAGAAGGGTGGGCAGACTGCATATTTTTGAATTGTCAGAAAGCATTTGATACAGTGCCACACAAGAGGCTAGTGAAAAAACTGGAGATGCAGGCTGGAGTGAAAGGGAAGGTACTCCGTTGGATACAGGAGTACCTAAGTAACAGGAGACAACGAGTCAGTGTGGGGGTGAGGTCTCAGATTGGCGAGACGTTACGAGTGGAGTACCGCAGGGGTCGGTCCTCGGACCTATACTGTTTCTGATATATGTAAATGATCTCCCAGAGGGTATAGAATCGTTTCTCTCAATGTTTGCCGATGATGCAAAAATTATGAGGAGGATTGAAACTGAGGACGATAGTAAGAGGCTACAAGATGACCTAGACAGACTGAGTGAATGATCCAACAAATGGCTGTTGAAGTTCAACCCGAGTAAATGCAAAGTAATGAAAATAGGCAGTGGAAATAGGAGGCCAGATACAGGATACAGAATAGGAGATGAAGTACTTGATGAAACGAACAGAGAGAAAGATCTAGGAGTTGATATCACACCAAACCTGTCTCCTGAAGCCCACATAAAAAGAATAACGTCTGCGGCATATGCGAGGCTGGCTAACATCAAAACAGCGTTCAGGAACCTGTGTAAGGAATCATTCAGAATCTTGTACACGACATATGTAAGACCAATCCTGGAGTATGCGGCCCCAGCATTGCACCCGTACCTTGTCAAGCACAAGACGAAGCTGGAAAAAGTCCAAAGGTATGCCACTAGACTAGTCCCAGAACTAAGAGGCATGAGTTACGAGGAAAGGCTGCGGGAAATGCATCTTACGACACTGGAAGACAGAAGAGTAAGGGGAGACATGATCACAACCTACAAAATCCTCAGAGGAATCGACCGGGTAAACAAGGATAAACTATTCAACACTGGTGGGACGCGAACAAGGAGACACAGGTGGAAACTGAGTACCCACATGAGCCACAGAGATGTTAGAAGGAACTTTTTCAGTGTCAGAATAATTAACGGATGGAATGCATTAGGCAGTGATGTGGTGGAGGCTGACTCCATACACAGTTTTAAATGTAGATATGATAGAGCCCAGTAGGCTCAGGAATCTGTACACAAGTTGATTGACAGTTGAGAGGCGGGACCAAAGAGCCAAAGCTCAACCCCCGCAAGCACAAATAGGTGAGTTCAAATAGGTGAGTACACCAACTGCCCGTACGTCAAGGAGCACACCATTAAATTGGAAAAGGGGGGAAGGAAACTTTCAGGAAAAAGCGCCAATTAAGTTATTACGACTATATAGCACTTGAAATGGATCAAGATAAGGATTTGGGATGGGACGTGGGGAAGGAATGGTACCCAATTACTCTGACGGTCGGGAATTGAACGCCGACCTGCATGAAACGAGACCGTTGCTCTACCGTTCAGCCCAAGTGATTGGACAATAAACAATAAAAGTTGCAATATCATGCTATGAAATGACTTCCAGAAGGGGAAAACCAAGAGCTACGAGGAGAGGTGAGAGCTGATAAATATGCCAGAGTAGAAGATAGAAAAAAATGAAGTGATATGATCACATTATACAAGAGTCGAATCGATAAAATTTGAGAGGAATTCTGTAAACCAGCAAGGTCAAGAACAAGTGTGTGGGTGTGGTCATAGATTCTAGCTATGGAAAGAAAGGTGCTAGAAAAATATTAGAAATATTCTCTTATTGAAGAGTGGTAGACAGTTGGAAAAACTTAATTGAGAAGGCCGTGGAAGCCAAAATCATAAGGAGTTTCAGAGCATCATATCAAGGGAGTCCTGGGATGACAGGACACAACGAGCCTAGCTCTCACCCTGTAACTACACTTAGGTAATTACACCGGTAACTACACACAAAAATGACTACTTAAACACACTTCTCACAAAAACACACTCATTATGGCTAGAAAATTTGTCAAGTTCAGATTACAAACACTTTCCGGGACTTTTATTTCTTCAAATGATGAATGTCGAATATCATTTACTTGCTTATCAACATTTCTTTATGCCAATTGCAACCATCAAACAGCACTGAAAAAAATATATTGGTCTCTTATATATAATGCGAACTCTAATGTGTATTAATTGTATTAATTTCTCATGCTGTTTATATTTTTTTATTTACATTCACATTGAAGGAATCAGAGATCAGAGACTGTCATGGATATTAATATGAGAAATACTGTTCTAACTCACGAAATTACATTGAAAATTAACGTTTGTTTGATTCAATATTTAGTTGTCTCACAATAGTTTTCAGATTAGTTGAAATTAAATTTCTTTCATTATTTTTAAGGAACAAATAATTATTGGAAAATACCATAAACATTCATAATCTATATAAATAAAAATGTAAATGTTCGTTTGTTCAAAATCGCTAATCTCAGAGAGGTCGTCACCGATTGCTTTGAAATTTTGACACAACGTTGCATTCTAATAGGCGCGTGTTTTTTAATAACTATAGCTTTACCCGGCCACGCGTTGCTGTGGCTCAGCAACGCGTGTGCGTTGCTGAGCCACAGCAACCTTCCCTGTCCCCCAGTCTTCCCCAATATTCTTTCCCCCCACCCCCATCCTCTCGTCCTCAAAACTATTCCCCACTCCACCGTCCCCTCGTCCACCCCACCATCTCCCACTACCCCGTCCCCCCTACCATTCCTCCCTCCCCATTCTCCTATCCCCACTTCCTCCCAACCATCCCCCACTCCCCCTGTCCCCTCCACCATTCTCCATTCCCTTGTTCCATCGTCCCCACCATTTTTCATTTCGTTTTTTAACCGTTATTTATATTTCAGTGATGGGAACATCAGATCATTTGATATTACCAATTTTCTGATGGGAATATCAGATCATTTGGGAATGCATCGGACGAGGGAGTGTGGAGGACGAGGGGACGGAAGTGGGGAATAGTGGGGAGGACGATGGATAGGGGAGGGGGGTAATGGTGGGGAGGACGAGGGGAGGGGAGTGGGGAATGGTGGGGAGGACGATGGATAGGGAGGGGGTAATGGTGGGGAGGGCGAGGGGATGTGTCATAGGGGAATGGTTTGGAGGACGAGGCAATGGTGGTGAGAACTGGGAGAAAGGGGAAGGTTGCTGTGGCTAAGCAATGCACATGCGTTGCTAGCCACAGCAACTCGTAGCCGGGTACAGCTAGTATATAATAAATGGATAGCCCCTAGAATGTTTTTTTTATTAAGATATGAGGTACATCTGCATTAGTGCAGCTACCCTAGACTATATGAAGTGGAGTACAGTGTGTCAAAAAAGCTAACTAGGTGATGCTAAAAAAAATCCCCATCACACAGGATGGTTAGTCATACAGAGGCATGTGATAAGCAGTCTGCACTGGCAGACTCCAGATGCATTTTGAGGATATCATCAACACAAGATTGAATTAGGTAGCAGTGGTAATACAAGTCCCCATCTCGCAGGATGGTTAGTCATACAGGGCCATGTGTTTAGTAGCCTGCACTGGCAAATTTTGGGTACACTGTGAGGATATCTTCAAGAATACGAGAGTGAATAAAGTCATTGCAAAGCTCCAGGTACCTCATGCCAACTGGTCTGAAAGGTCTAGTAACTGCGGGAGATCGTGCCGTAGTTCCTGCTCACAGAGTTTGCAACTGGAGTGTTCAGGATTGGGAGATCCGTCACCTGCAGCCACCTGCCACAGGTAACGGTAACCCAACCTGATCCTT